TTTTCTTTATCTCCAGAAAACTACGACGAAGCTTTTAAAATTCTCAAAGAGAGGTATGGTCGAAAAGATCTCCTTATTAATTCTTACATGCATAAACTTTTAAATTTACGAAGTTCTAATGACATTAATTCTTTGAGGGAATTATATGATACCTGCAACGTACAAGTAAGGTCACTAAATTCGATAGGGGTCAAGACCGAATCGTATGGAAAGTTACTATACCCTTTGTTAATGAAATGCATACCTCAGGATATAATGCTTGATTTTGCTCGTCAAAACACAGATGAGGAAACTTTTAATGTCGACAACCTCATGAAATTTCTAAAATGGGAAATTGAAAGTCGCGAACGAACTTCATTAAATTTATTTTATTCTAAGAGTCACGCTAATTCTCTTGGAAGGCATTCACAACCAAATGAAAAGCGAAACAACTTCCACACTCTGAATTCATTCAACGCCAAGAAATTTGGCGCCAGCTATTCTCCTAACGTAAGCAAAATTGCAGTTGTTCAAACTTTCCCTTGCTTATTTTGCGAAAGCGAAAATCATGCTTCAGAAAAATGCGTTATGTCTCCGGAAGAAAGGAAAAAGAGTTTAAGGGCTTCTAATCGGTGCTTTCTTTGTTTCGAAAAGGAATTGTAGAACAAAAAATTGCCCTTCTCAATTAAAATGTTCAAAATGTAATTCTAAAGTATCATAATATATTGTTGCATGAAGATAAGGAAAGGGTTGCTAAAGCTTTATATTATTAAAGAAATTAAGAATAATTCTAACGCCGTAACTGCAAAGATTTCTTCTAAATATTTTACTGTGCGAATCAAGAAGGTTAAAGAATTAATAGATGACTTGCCAACCTGTTAAACTTATATGTGATGGTAAATTAATTAATGCAGTAGCAGATACAGACACGCAATTGACCGTTGTCAAGACCGACATTGTACCAGAAAAATACTGTATGCCACATGGAAGTGTTATCCTCAAGTCAGCTTTCGGGCAAGCTTTAAAAGCTCCTCTCATTAACCTACCTTTAGCAATATATTCTGAAAATGATAAATTTAGGTCACCTATTTTTATAACATGTGCAATGGTGGATAAGTTATGTAATGATTTACTCTTGTTGTTAAGTGCTTTTAATGAGTTAAGGGGAGATGATAAAAGAAAGTTTAATTTTGAATGTAGAAATGTGAACATTGCTACTGATAGTTTCGGTGAAATGCCTTTTCATGAAACTGAAAATTTTGATGAAATACTTAACCATGATAGGGAAAACCTAATTAATGAAAAATGTAATGAAACTGTTAAGAAGATAATAGAATGTTGTGCGCTTGTATATGAAGATACGGGTAAGGATGATTCCAAAGGTAGCACGGGACGCGATCAATGTGCTTCGGATTCAGAACTGTTTCGAGTGCAACAAATGAATGACCCATCTTTAAAAACATGCTGGCAAAATGTTAAGAACGGAAGTAATAACTTTATTACTATTGATAACTTTTTGTATCATAAAGATAAAGTTCTAGGAGAAAGAGTTTACCAGTTGGTCGTTCCCAAAGAAAGAAGAAAACAGCTTTTGGACTTGACTCATTCTAGCTTATGGGAAAGTCACCTGCGAACCAAGAAGACAGCTGAACGTTTGAGATATTCGTTCTATTGGCCGGAAATCAAGAAAGATGTAAATGAATACTGCAGTGCTTGTACTTCTTGTCAACTTCAAGCGAAAAAGCGTCCCTTTGATGAAGTTCCGATTACGCCAGTAACTCGTCCTAAAGAACCATTCCAGGTAATTAATGTGGATATCCTAGGACCTGTAGAGCCAAGCTGTAGAGGTTACAAATATGTTCTGTGTGCTGTTGATCAATGTACAAGGTGGCCCGAAGCGGTGCCATTGAAGAATTTGAATGCCAAAGCAACATGCGATGCATTGTTGCAAATCTTTTCACGCACAAGAATTCCTCAAATTGTTGCTTCAGATCAAGGAACTAATTTTACTGCTTCGTTGACCCAAGAGTTTTTGAAAAGGATCGGATTGTCCCCAAGGTTCTCGACTCCTTATCATCCAAGTTCAAATGGCCTGGTAGAAAGATTTAATGCTGTTTTAAAGGGAATGATACATCATACCGTTAGAGAACATTCGAAAGATTGGGAGAAACATCTACCGTATTTACTTTGGGCTTACCGAGAAGTTCCTAATGCTACGACTGGTGTTAGTCCGTTCCAAATGCTTTATGGAAGACGTCCTAATGGCCCGTTGTCTATTTTGAAATCGTCATGGACTAATGAAACTCCTATTCCTCATGGACAATTAAGTTCAGTTACCGATTATCTGAATGATTTGAAGACGAAATTGGAAAAAGCTGCTGAATACGCAGGACTTACAGATGTTGGAAAGCAACAAGCTTATGCATTCTACCGTAACCGAAAGACTCGTCATAAAGAATTCAAGGAAGGTGACAGGGTTATAGTTTTAATCCCTGATAGCCAAAACAAAGTTTATGCCAGATGGACGGGACCTGCTACGATCATCAAAAAGCATACTGATTATAGTTACATAGTACAAATGCCTGACAATTCATCGAAGCACGTTCACGCAAATAAGATACGAGAGTTCAATACCGCTGTGAATAATGTCGGTGATGATATGATACAGATATTGATTTCGGCGAAGTTGAAAACGTTCCAAGAATTGTTCCACGGAAAGCAAAAGAACACTATTCTAATGAGGAATGTGATTTTACACACCTTGAACCGCATAAGAAGAAAGAACTTGTGGAAATTTTAAGAAGGCATAAGAACCTAAGAACTGGTATTCCGAAAATCGCCAATGTGGGAGAACACAGCATCAAACTGAAACCTGGAAGTATGCCAAGAAGGCAGAAACCGTATCAAATACCTGAAGTTCTAAGAAATGAAGCTGATCGTCAAATAGATAAGCTTTTACAGCTAAAGCTAATCGTTGAATCAGAAAGTGAATATGTGCATCCAGTAAGTAATTTATGCGTTAACAAAATGGAACAGTAACATTATGTGTAGACTAAAAGACTATGCTGAATTTATTGATGACGTGACTTAAAATGACATGATTATATTTCCCAGTGAGTGAAATATGACCGATGTTATGAACTATGAACTATAAGACATTTTGACTGTTTAGTTTGAATTTTTTTTTTTAGCTAAAATGCTAAATTTTTTTTCTAACGTTAGGTAATGTGTTTAGAGATTTAGCTAGGGTTTGCTAAAGTATTATGTTTAATGTTAATGATTGATTTGTATTGTCTCGTTTATATGATAACTGCTTATATGATTATGATTATGTGAAGGATTTAAGTTTGAAATGTTAATTGAATGTTACATCCTTTTAAATGAATAGGATTACTGAATTTATGTTGAAGTAATTTTAATTTAAAATGGTAAGATATGGTTAATTAAGTTCGAAAATTTCATGAATGTTATTTTATTTTGTTTCAAGAAATGTTTATATATGTGGATTTGACAGGTCATTGAAAGACGCAATCAAATCTTTTCGAGGGGAGGTGTCATGACGTGATGACCACGCATGCGCAGTTTAGCCGAACGGCCTGCAACGCCTCTCTCTCATGAAAACTGACTAGAGAAGAGTAGTTAGTAGGTAGTAGCGAAGTAATGAAGGAAACATGTTGTATGTCTGCTTAGATGCAAAATACGAAGTTATACTTGTGTGTTAATCGTTTGTACTTATTATTTTTATTTGTGTGTTAATAAAATTTCATGCCGTAAAAATGGCTGTTTTATGCAACGCACACAATACGATACGTCTACGGTAGGACATAAATACATATCCAGAAGCTACACGCCCAAGAAAAAGAAGGATATGACACTATTGAAAACGAAAAAATTTCGATTTACAAATTAGTCGGGATTCTCGACACAGCAATTATAGGACTTGAACAGCGGAACTTTGTAACTGAACAAGAAATTATGTCTATTTATAGAATTAAAGAGAAAGTATTATCACATAAAACGAAGCAACTTAAACAACTTACATTGAAAGAAATGTTTAATGAAAAAAAAAAAAAAAAAAAAAAAAAAAAAAAAAAAAAAAAAAAAAAAAAAAAAAAAAAGTAAACAAATAAATATTAAGCTTTTTTTTTTTGTAAATTTTGATACCCTTTAGATCATAATTGTTCTTTATTTCATAAATTACGGTTTCATATTTTTAATTTTATAATTTCTGCTTGCCATCTTATCAGATTTAAACTGATGATCTATAATCCGGAATCGCCGAAGTCCCGATGAGTCCGGATTAACGACTTTTGACTGTATAAAGCGTTTATTTCAAATGATCATTTAGACATTATTCATGACCAAGTACATATAACCGATATCAGTGATTAATTCGTGGCTGCTAAAATAACTAGCTGTTTTGGGTTGTTATATTTTCCCCAAATTTGTAGCTTAACTACTTTCTTTTAGAAAGTTTTTTGCCTAAGCAGGCAACTCTTATTGCATCATGGTAGTAAAATAGTGTAACCTCCAGCTAGTCGAAAAATGACAGCATAAATTGTCAAATAATTTTAACTAATTAGATTATGTGCAATCCTTTTTAGACCCCATAGTTTATTTTTAGTATTAAAATATTGTACCCAATTACGTAGATTATGATATTTTTAATGTTGTGAAGCATTTTATAATATTACAAATTGTATGTTTATAAGACAGTTTTTTAATATTAAATTAAAAATTATTCAATTTAAATTTCACTGTCTCTTTTTTTTAAGGTATATTTTTATGCAAGAGAGATGAGAAACATGCCAGAGTAAAACATAAAATTAGGCAAAGCAACAATTTTGTGTTTTGCACAGTCAAGACTCGATAAAGCTTTTTGAGTCTATAATACCAAACACAAGGTTGTTGCTTTCCTAATCTAATGTTTATTATTTTTATGTTTTTCTGTTTTCACTTGCTGGTTGGTTTTTTTTAATTGTTTCTTAGCATTGTAAAATTTTATCTTTATACTTTTTTAGGGTTTCCTGAAGCTTTCTATCTCATTGAACGCATGATTAAGCATAATGCTTTGGAAAGGCCACCTGTTGTTGCTATTTTAAAGCATCCAATTTTTTGGTCCAGAGAGAAAATTTTAGGTTTCTTTCAGGTATTTTTTTTTTTTTCCCAGTTTTAAATATTATGTATAGTCTGTTGTTTATGTATGTATCTAATTGGTTTCAAGAAGAGTATTACTAGTGGTAAAAATTTTGTGCAGGAGAACTAACAGTTTGTGTTACATTTTATGTTTTTGGTTTAAATTGTTTTATTTTTATTATGTGTGCAAAGGAAAAATGTACCTTTGAAATAAAATGCAAGCAATTTATGATATTCAGAATTTATAGATTAATTAGTAATTGTAATATGAGCACTAAAATGTATATTTATACTTTTAAGAGTATATAATTATATATTTATACTATTTATATTTTTTGAGTTTGAGGGTTAAAAATAACTGTAAAATGTTTTCAGAACTTTAACATGTAATTAAATGATAGTATTTGATATTACTTTTGAAAATTAAAATGCAAGGAAGTGTTTTAATGGAATAAAAATGTACCCCCCCCTTTTTTTTTTGTGTGTGTGTGTGTGTGTGTGTATGATTTATTTACTTATGTATATTCATATTATATAAAATCACAGCACATTACATTTTGTTGGGAATTTATTTTGTTTTGGATGAGCTTGTTTAAATATAAATTTTTTAAAAATAATATAATATTTTATCTTTTCAGTCAAACTACAAATTGTTTAAAAAGAGTTTAAAATAAATAAGCTGTGGAATTTACCTGTTTTCTCAGTTTTTCTTATGCTGCTCATTTTCATTATTTTAACAAAAATATAATGAAATCCATATTTTTTTCATGTCAGCTATTGAAATTCTTCGTCTGTAACTTTCTTTTGTGTGATATTTAAAATAGCGTATTTATGACTGTTTTGTTATGTGATGAAATATTATATTTATTCAGGATACAAGTGATCGCATAGAGAAAGAACCTACTGACAGCATTATAGTAAAAACCCTTGAAAAGTATGCTTATTCTGTTGTTGAAGGAGATTGGAGAGAACACATTACTGTTGAACTGCAAAATGGTAAGTGAGGCTAAAAATATATATATATTTTAAAGGCATATTTTTAAATACATATGATGCATTCAAAGTACAGGGTATTTGAAAGAATAGCTGTATCATTTATTATTTCTTTAAATACTGATTGAACGCATGCATTTCAAGTAGTGGGCTTTTATGCATGAAAAATAAATCTTTTTATAAATATAAAGTCTAATTTTTATCTGTTCTTTGTAGATCAAGCATGTGCAACTTTGACAGGAATACAAGCTAGATTTGAAATTAGAAATATTACACACACTTTAGTATTTCAGGATTTATTTATGTGAAAATGTAAAAAGTGAATGTATCTTAATTAGTTTCATTAAAGCTATTAGTTTTAGAAACTAATCATTTCGGAAGTAGTTTTTATATACGTCAGTTAGTGTACAATCTTTGATTGTCTTTGGAACAAGTTCTCTTGTAATTTGATTAATTTCAGCTATGAGCATTTATTGTTCAAATTTAAACATTTAATAAACAGGCCAGATTCAGTGATAATTGGAAAAGTCGTCACTGGAATTGGAATGCGGGCTGTGTGTTGCACATTCCTGGTGTAGGGTAATTATTCTAATAGTTATGTATTGATAATTTTTTAATATAACAGAATTGGAGTTTATGAATAGTTAATAAAAAGGAAAATGTTTAATGTTTTCTACAAATTAGTGCTATCTTTTTTTAAATGCATATTTTCTGTAATTTCAGTTTGTTAATGTAAGATTTAGTTTACATCTAAATTTCTGTTAATTTATTATTGTGGAGCATTATTATTTCTTTAGTTTTATCATGTTTTGTGTATTTTTCAGATCTTCGAAAATTTCGAACGTATAAAGGTCATTCTGTTCGAGATCTTTTGCGAGCAATGAGAAATAAAGCAAGTAGTTTTATAACTTTAGTAAACTTAAAGAAACAAGAAAATTATTAAATTTTTTTGATTATGTAATTCTAAAAAACAATTATATTTGAGTTAAAAAATAGGTCTTTTTGTGATATATTTTAAAATAACTTGTTCAAGAGAATATAAGTTCTGAAAACTGCTTTTATTAAAAAGCCTGTTTTATTTTCTTTATTTTTAATCTAGTGCATATATGTGTGCACGTACGTACATATATACACTGTCTACATGAACACATCCATCCATACATACATGTGTACATACACAGAAGGTGTTCACACATTTTTGTGAGGATTTTGCAAAGATTTATGTATAAACAAATCTTAGAATTTTATTTTTTGATATGTTCAATCTGATAGCCCTTTTGTTGACATATCATATTACATCTTGATTTCCAAGTCCTTTCCGTTGGGTAAAAGATTGATTGATTGATTTGATTTGATTCCACTCCTCCTGCACAGTCTTCCAGAGTCCATCCAATGTTTTGTGATGCCACATATAAAGAGCTTGTTTTAAAAATCCAAATGCACAGTAATCAATAGGAGACACATCTGGAGACTTGTGTGAAATGCATTTAAAGGGAACAGCTTCAATTCCGGTTTCAGTTCTCTTTTTTTTTTTTTTTTTTCCAAAAAATAGAGCAGTAGCTTTAGAGCCTTAACCTGATGGAACTTAACACAGTGTAGATTAATTTAGAAGTCAAACAACAAAAATCAGAGTTATATTTTCAAATTTTCACAGGACTAGTTTCGATGGTTTTACCGAACCACCATCCTCAGCTGCAAAACCGCAAATGAACAAGATAGGAAATAATGATTAGATAAGATAAGAAAGCCTGGACAGGAATAAGCAAGTAGTGCCATCTGTTGATGAAACCAGAACTAAAACATAATTTCTTTAAAGGCCGAAGGCAAAGATGGATTGGAATTAGGATCGTTAACTAGAACAGAAAGATTTTTTTGAATGTGAAATGCTTCTAGGAAATCCAGTTCTCCAATGGAAGATATTTTTTGAATAATTTTGGCAGCAGAAAAATTGAAAGTGTGATTTTAGGACTAAGAATGTTGAGCAACAGACTCAAGACTCAAGACTTCTGTGTTTCCTTTTTTCTAACATATGCCTCATGTTCCTTGACGTGAAATTTTAAGGCTCTCTTAGTTTGGCCAATGTAAATTAAACCACACTGGCAAGGAATCCTATAAATACCCCAGGAATTTATAACCGGAATGGGGTCCTTGAGTATGGAACTCGGAATTTTATTGATGGGAAAATACACAACCCGAAAGTTAAATGTCTGCAAAATATGTGCAACTTTATAGCTAATTGATGGAAAGAAGGGAATGACAACAGAATTTTTCTTATATCCTAAAACAAGAGTGTGCCTTTTAGTGTGTTGAGATGATAATTTAACTGCTTGATTAATAATGTTGGGTGAAAAGCCCCTGTCAATAGCTATTGCTTTTAAATAATTTAGTTCTTCATCAAGGGCTAGTTTGGAGGAGCAAACTTGAAGAGCACGAGAAACATAGGAATAAAATGAAGCTAACTTTTGTTTAGTCGGATGACATGATTTGAAGAGTGGTGGACGGCAAACCGGAAATGTTTACGGTAAACCGTAGTACTGAAGTTGGATGTGTTACGTGTGACCAGAATGTTGAGAAACAGAAGAGAATTGCAAATCTCAAGTTCAAAAGTGACCTGAATAGCAGGATCAATGGAATTTATTTTTGAAAGAACTTTATTTAAATCATCTTTATTACCTTCAAACAGGGTAAAAGTATCGTCTACGTACTGAAACCATACCGGGAAGTTTAAAGTATCAAACAATTTTGATTAATAATAATGCATGTAGATATCAGCCAGGATGGGACTGAGGGGGCTTCCCATGGCTAATCCCTCAGTTTGCTTGAAAATGCATTTGTTTCAAACAGAGTTGAGTGAGAGAGATTAGCTCATCAATTTCAATGCAAGAGAAATGAAATTCGCGAAGTCTGGTTTCTAGACATCTTAATGCACCCTCCACTGGAACATTGGTGAATAATGATTTTACATCAAAAGAATTATTCTCGCATCAATAAAATTCCGAGTTCCATACTCAAGGACCCCATTCCGGATATGAATTCCTGGGGTATTTACAGGATTCCTTGCCAGTGTGGCTTAATTTACATTGGCCAAACTAAGAGAGCCTTAAAATTTTGCATTAAGGAACATGAGGCATATGTTAGAAAAAGGAAACACAGAAGTCTTCTGTTGTTCAACATTGTTGGTCCGAAAATCGCACTTTCAATTTTTCTGCTGCCAAAATTATTCAAAAAAATCTTCCATTGATGAACTGGATTTTCTAGAGGTATTTCACATTCAAAAAAATCTTTCTGTTCTAGTTAACGACCCTAATTCCAATGCATCTTTGCTTTCAGCCTTTAAAGAAATTATGTTTTAGTTCTGGTTTCATCAACAGATGGCGACAGTGGCTTATCTCCTGTCCAGGCGTTCTTATCTAATCATTATATCTTATCTCGGTCATTTGCACTTTTGCAGCTAAGGACGATGGTTCGTTAAAACCATCGAAACTAGTCCTGTGAAAATATAATGCTGATTTTTGTTGTTTGACTTCTAAATTAATATTTGTTCGGCGTGTTATTGTATCGTAATTACGGTGAAGATTGTTTGGATAAAGAGATGGAATTTCTTCTTTAAAAATAGATGTTAAACATATTTCTGATAATAATCTGAATTAATTTTGGCATTTTTTTCTACTTTCCTTATTTTAGATTTTCCGCTGTAGGACAATCCAGTAATAACAAAAAAAATCTTTAGAAAAACTTTCCTTGTTTTCTCTGAACCAACATATTAAGTCTTTTTCTCCTCTTTTTTTGGTAGTTAAGCGATATTTTTCTATTGCTATCAGATAAGTATATTCAAGCCTCATCACTTATAACTATATATTTTCATTTTTTACCTGCCAAATAATTTTCATACAGCAATCTGCACATAGTCTTACGCTGAGAAATATGTTTTGGCATTAGGCGATGAACATCATTTTTTTTTTTTTTTTTTTTTTTTTTTTTTTTTGTTGTTGTTGTTGTTTTGATTAGCTTTAAATCAGATTTTATAATATTTTGTTCACAGTTCCTACAGATATATTTAAAGATTTTGCAATAGCTCTTTCAGGGGCTGGATTTTCTTTTAAAACATGAGGTGGGACTTTAGATTTAATAAGAGCTGTATGTACCTTTGTTGGGTATGCATTTTTTGTCTTTTCCTAACCATATGTAAACTGTGATGTGTCTTTCCTTTGATATTAATTATGTCACCATTTTTATGCATGGAAATATTAAAACCATGCTTTTCACATCTTTTTATAGTAATTGAATAAGAGTATTTCTCTTAGGACAGTGCAAAAATATAGCCTTTGATCCAATGTTTGTTTTTTAGCTACATTTTAAGGAAAAAATAATTTGCAATGCTTTAGATGATAATTAAACTTTATTCCAATTGGATGTCAGTCAGGATTGTATTTTAAAATTAATATTTAAATTCATTGAGAAAATCAAAATCATTACACAAATGTGTGAACACCTTCTGTACCTTTCTGAATCTGGTCCCAATAACAAAAGAGTATCAAAAATAGCAACATAGCATAACCAGCCAAGAAGCAAATCTGGGATATAAAGATCTTTCCAGACATTATATTTTATATACATGTAGATTGATTTCAGAATTTTATACATTTTTTGAAGTGTGCAGAAGGTATGCATGATTTCGATATGCAAAAGAAAAACTTTAAGACCACTTTCGAAAAAATCCCCCTTCTTTTAGAAATATAGAGGATTGAAAAATTGGTAAATTATAATTAAATTTTTAACAAATCTCTAACCAGTTCATGAAATTGCTGATGTCATTCGTCTCTGTGCAGACACTTGCCATCCTGCACAGAGCCAAATTCCAAAATTATGGTATGTGACTTGACTGTATGATCCCCCTAAGGCTGAAAGGTCAGCATTAGGAGCTTGGGGCTGTTGAGATCCTGCTTTGTGTTTGGTGTGGTACTCTTGAACCCATAGATTCCATATTCACCTGGCAATCATGGAATCCTGACCAATACAAGGAGCAGTGTTGCAAAATGATAAACAGCAGTCCTATGATCCTGCCACAGTTGAATTTTAACTCATGCTTAGAGGACTTTCTCCTTCTTATATGAGGCATAGCACAACCTTTACACAAACAACCAACATTCAAATGCTATTTCCAAGTGAGAATCCCACTTGTGCACATGCTCTGAAATGCTAATCATCTGCATATTCCACCTTTCTTGAAAACTGACATATACTGCATACTACCTTCATGGTGTAGGAAATTTAATGGTCAGCAGTGTTTCATGATTTATTTAGTAATATGTAATATAATGTATTTTGTTGATAATGTCTAATAGCATATTTGTAAATCAATAGAATTGCCTTTCTTTATATATGTTATGTGAATATCTTGTTTTATGTAAATTTGCTATCATGAATACTTTCACATGTTCATTTTAATCCTTGGAATATATTACCTGCAGGTACAGAAACATTATTGTATATAAGAAAAGTCATAACTGTAATTAGTAATCAATTGCAAAGTTGTCATTATTCACAGGGGAAAATTACTTAAAATTTCAACAGAACATTTCAGATCTCATAGTAGGCTGAGGCTCTCATACTGACAATATCTGTCTTTGCTTGATTATGAGTTTCTGATTTTAGCTGTAACAAACCCAAAAATCATTCTTGTTATTTACTATTTAGTCCTATTATTCAGAAAATTTTAAATGATTTTTTTTTAATTTTAAATATAATATTTTAATTTTAAATATAAAAATGTATAAAATGTTACGTAAAAAATGTTTTATTGTTTTTATACAGTTAAAAATTGGTTTGTAAACTCATGTATTTATTTTATACCTTTCAGAAACATCATTATCGAGAATTACCTGCTGAGTTAAGAGACTCTCTTGGTGAAATTCCGGATGAATTTGTAACCTACTTTATTTCTCGTTTTCCTAAACTTTTAATTCACACATATTTAGTCATGCAGCTATGTAAAAATGAGAATGTATTTTTAAAATATTATGATTCTGGCACAGAATTGTCTTATTTAGAACCAAAGGAAAAATATATACCTTGGTATTATGGGAGAAAAATGAAATCTTCAAATTTATGTAATAGTTCTGAGGTAATGTGTGATACTAAAGCTGAAGTCCAATTAGAACCTTGCAGTGATATTAATGCAGAATGCATTGAAGATAGTATAATTACGGAACCCATTTCTAATTCAGAAATGTTATTTTCTGATAAAAACTGTAATTGCATTTCAGATATGTATGTAAGCAATGAAGTAACTGAGAGCAATGTAAACATACATAAAGAACAAATGGGTGCCCCAAGAAATTTAGAGAAAAATGTGCCTCATAATTCAGTGAAGAAGAAAAAGCCGAAGAAGAAACAAAAAACTCTCTTATTTAATGGTGCACAATTAGTCACTGAGTAAAACTTTGTTTTGTTAAAGACATCAGATTACTGTCTTTTGCAAATTAAATTTTATTAAAATAATATATTTTGATAATGGTGATGGGTATATTTTCACCAGATTTACTTTTTTCTGTTCTTAATATTTAGTTATGTTTGTAGATATTTTTAAATATTATCACCACACAGAATTTTATAAAATGAGTGTATGTTTAATTTGTATATATTTGTATAGAGATAAATGTTATTTATATGAAACAACATTATCATCTAATATTGTTTGTGTAATTATTTGTAAATGGGCTATCAGAATTAATCTATTTATATCATCTTTAAAGAAAATGAATTTTTGTGTATTGTTTTATAGAGAAAATCATTCAAAAATTTTTCGATCATTTTCAGTTTCTTTATTATTAATGAATTAAAAATTGGTTTTCCTTTTTAAATTGTTGTTTTTGTTGCTAATATTTAGTAACTTTAATTTGATTTTTAAATTGATAATTTTATATGAATTGTTTTCTGTAAATGATAAAAAATTAAGAAACCTATTTGTTTTCATATGAAATAAATAATTTTTAATATTTTACATATAAGTCTTTAATACACATACATTTACCATATATATATATATACACAACACACACACACACATGCAGTGCATTTTGGTTATAACCTTACTTAAGAAAGGCATTATTTTTGTTTTAAATATATAATAATAATACATTTGTATTGTAGCTATTTTATTTGTAAATTTTTATGATGCAACGTCTCTAAAACCAATATTTTTCCTGGATTAAATTGTTTATTAAGATAGCTCAAGAACAATTAATATAAACTTAAAAACATTTTTCTTTTACATATAATCTTAAGTGAAATTTTTGTTTATGCAGTGTTTCTCTAGAAAGTGACTGCAGTCATATCTTTCGTTATCTGTATGTAAGATATGATTTTTCATAAATTATGAAGTTATTCAATCACCAGTCAAAAATTTTTTAAAAGTAACCGATGAGAAGAGTGAATTTCTTGGTTATAGTCTTTGTATGCTTGCATATTACTTAAGGTAAATAGTATTACAGTTGCTTTTAGGCTTACAGTTATAGTGTATATCATTATTGGAAAATGAATATGCACACCTTTGGGGCGTTTCTTGTTGTTATAAAAAAGTAGTGAAATAATCTGTAGATGTAACTAATATAATATTTATTAAATAATGATAATTAAATGAATTGTAGAGGGGTTGAATATTTCTATCATTATGGCATAAAGATGAATGTCACAAATAAAGCATAATGATATTTTTTCTATTGCAGCTGATTGGGGTAGATCAAATATTGGCAAATATATTCAGTATTTTTTTTTAAACTTTACATATTCATTTTCACTGTTTTCCAGTTTTATATATTTTTTTCTTATTTATAACATAGTCATTAGCCTGTGTAGTAAACCTAAAGCCCTAATCAAAATAAAAGATAAAAAAATAGTTTTTACTAAGTGAATTGCTGATTAAAAAAGATTATAAATAGAAATCAATTAAAAATAGATTATCAGTTAAAAAAGCTATCAGTGTATACTGTTCAGAATTATCTTAATAGCAAATGTGTAGAAGAAGGCGCTCAACACCTCTCCTTAATTAAGAACAGTAATATTCAAAGCATAAAGTATTCCTTTAATTAAATTATATTGGCAAATTTCAAGTAATATGTAAGTTAAATATTTTAAAATTCAGCATATAAAAATTTATATATATATATTTTAAAAATTATTGAAACAGTAGAGAGTAATATAAGGTAATGTAATTAAATGTTACAAAATGCATGAAATTTATTATGTAATATTTAGTTTTGAGTAAAGGTGACAGAAAAAAATTAACGCCAGCATCCTAAAAATAAAAATTGAATCATTTGGTCAAAAGAAAGTTTTAAATTGAAAATTTTAATAGAGAGTTTCTAAAAAAGCTGTATTGAGGTTTTGATATGCATTTTGTAAGCAGTGAAAAATTATAAATTATTATGCATCATAATAAATAGATATTTTAAACACATTTGTTGTATTTTAAATTTCCTTGTTTTCCAATGTGTATATGGAGAAAAAGTACTCAAATTCATTTGTAAATTTATGAAGATATATACATCTCTGTGTATGTCTAAGTATTTTTTCTTATGGAAAAAACAATCCCGTTCATTTATTTGTTTTATAACATATTAATTTTTTATAAATTTTAATTAATAACCTATTTTTTTATTATGTGTTATATACTGTGTAATCCCTTTCATGGTCTCTTGAATGTTATAACCAAGATTCATTTTGTGTAGTGTATATATATGTAACACAATGCAAGTATACATAAATATAATGCTAGCTACTTCATTAAGTAAAGAGTATATAATAATAAACATAGTTGACGTTTTTCAAAGATTAGTTGTATTTCACAGAATTCATGTTGTTGAAATTCCTGTGAAGAATAATGCCTTAAAAATTTCCTTTAATCCCTTTAAATCATTTTATTGAGAAATATGTGTTCCATCACATCCCAAATGCTAATGAGAGCAAGATTAGAAGAGGCCTGAAATTTGTTTGTTAAAAGAATCCTCAATATTGCATCAATTATTCTTTGATGCTAAGTGTACTGATATCCTTTTGAAGCATGTCTTTTTCTCAGAAGTAGACATTATGCTGCATTTTTTGCACATATTTATTTGGCTGAAACAAATTTTTAGATACATATTGACATTTGTTATGTCATTTGATGAGAATAAAAACCTAACTGAATATTGTGTAAGCATACTTTTCTGTGTTATTTCATCTTTTCAAATTTTATTGTTGCAATTACTTGTTGTTTCTTTAAATAATTTTCATGTATAAGAAGAATAAATCTGAATATTTTTCTTTTGAATGTAGTCAAAAATATTCAAGATGTTTTTGAAAGAATAGTGTACATATGAGAACAACTTAAGAAAAATGTGCATGTTTAAGGTTATGTGTGGAACTAAATGAACTAATGATTTCAAGTGATGAAAAATTCCAGAACAGAAATCTATTAACTAGATTCAACTATGTATACTTTTCATATACATCACTTTTGTTATTCAATATATATTGAGATTTATTAACCTATGTCACTTTCTTCCATTGTGATGCTCATCTGTTATACTCTTGATGCTATCAATTGTTTTCTTACTTAAGTATTTGAGATCGAAAACTTAAATTAAGGCTTTCTTCAAGAATTCTTTTAATGGGTAGTTTTGGTCAGAATTAAATCATTGTGAATAACACCATTATGAGTATAATTTCTACATATTTTCCAGGCAGAGACTACCTTAGCTTATGATGAAAAAATTTATGTCACAAACCCCTTTGTTTGCATGTGCTTTCTTGATGTCTTCTATTCTCAGAGCTTTGAACAAAGCCTGTCTTTTCATGTTGAAATTAAAGATTGTACATTTTTTTCCATTGAAGAAAATTGAAAAATATTTGATTATATACTTTTACAGAGGCTGTTTATTATTTACCACACATATAACTTTATGACTTTGCATGAAATTTCATACTTAGTAAAAGATGAACCTGATGAAGATGACTAAGCAATATGTAATATATAATATATGTATAAATTAATTGGTTTTGAAATATATATTCTAAATTATGTTATTTACAATCATGATAATTTATATGATCATATCATATTCAATGTATTTTGAGAAAGATGCTTTTTTTTAAATGTTTGTGATATTTAAATTCATGATAAAGTCAGATTTTAATATCATATGATCTCTTAGCAGTCATTCAGTTTTTTAAATTGTTGTTAGTTTATTTATATAAGTGTGTTGTATAAAAATAATAAGCTGAATTAAAACTGAGAGAATATAAATTGCATTTTACTTTCATTTTACCATGCTATTTTCTTTCTCTGCCGCTTGCTTTTAATGTCATGGCATTTTCTTTTGCAATATATTATGAATATCTAGTCCATGTAATTATTTCTGATAAATATTTTGTGTATATGTTTTTTGCAGTAATCAAAAGTAGTATTTTTATGAGAATGTTTTCTTATTCTTGATGGAACTTAAGTTGATTTAATAAATTATAATTTTGATTTTTAGTTATAATAAATGATTTATAATTTCCTTTGTGAAATATGGAAACACATTTTATGAAGCAAATTATTGCATAAATATTATTTACTTAATACATGCTTTTTAGTGTAAATCTTATTTTGAAAATATTTGATAATCTTATTTATTCTCTAAAATATATAAACATTGTGAAAATTAATAAATTAGCATATTATGCACATATCATTTATTTATATTTAATATTTATTTACCTGTGCTCGTTTTTATGTGGCAGTATATATTATATCTAGTTTTAAATCTTTGCTTGCTTGTACTGTTTTGATGATTGTAAGCAACCTTCTCATTTGCATGAAGAAAAAGACTGTTTTACATATATTATGTTGCAAGATATTTACTTGCAATGAATGTGAGACAAGTGAATTAGTTTGTAACTTAATTAATATTAAAATAACATTGTATTCATTATATATTATTTTCCATTAATTAGCATTTTATATATTATTTGCTATTTAATTAATATCAAAATGATGTATGTTTGCCTTATTTAATTATATTTAATAATTGTTTATCTCAGCACATTCTTATATAGCAATATATCTTATGGTTAGATTCGATTCTTTGCTTGTTTGCATTATTTTGATATTTACTTGCTACCAATTCAGCTGTATGTGAAATAAGAGTGTATTTTTAGTATGTTATTTTCAAAGATATTACAAACAGCTATTTGTATTAAAAATAAGATTAATAAGAATTAATTATTTTGTAAATATTCAAACATGAATATATCAAGCATGTTTCTATTGTATTTTAGATTCAGTGTCTGATATTATTTTGCATAATGTGCAGTGAATTTTTTTAAACTTATATTAAACAGTATTTGACCGTCTAATATTCACAAATGCAGTGAATGAAAATTGTGGTAAATAATGAAATAGCTTTATTTGGTATGGGTGTGACATCTGAGGACTTATCAGTTTTCTTAGAATGTAAGAAATATAAATGTTATAAAAGTACCTGTCATTAAAATATTGCAACATCTTTTGCTTTTTGTTAATTTTTTTTTTAACAATATATAATGCAACAGTTAACGTGAATAGTTAATAAAGACTGAAAAATTTTTCTCAGTCTTTTTTTTTTTTTTTTTTTTTTTTTTTTTTTGCTTGAACTTCTAGTTATTAGGCAAATATTGACTAAGTGATGACTATAAAAGT